CTCTCTCTCTCTCTCTCTCTCTCTCTCGGCCCCTCCCCCACTCACACTCTGTCTCTGTGTCAAAAATAAATACACGTGAAAAAAAATTTTTTTTAAAAAGGATCAAAGGTGAGCTGCTTTGATCGAAGTGGAGAGCAGGGCCCAGGGTCTGGGACCCAAACTCCCGCCTCTACCTCAACCCCAGAGACGACGCCAGGCCCTCTTTGGAAAACCAGGGTACCCCAGCGCGGCTCCACGGGGAAGCGCTCTGTGAAGGTCACGGACAGCCCGCCAACTGTTGCCGCTGAGCGAATGGCACTGCCCTGCAGGCTGGGCTGAGCAGACATTGTTTCCTTCTGACGGCGAGGACACGGAGTCATGCGCCATTTCACATCTGCCCGCCGTCACACTATGCGTCCGTGACCACGTGCCTGCCGCTGACACCGCCAGCGCCCTGTGCTCTGACGGTGCCCTTCACACTCGCAGCCTCTTTGAGCCCACGGAGGGCTGCCTAACCCCCAGGGACAGACACAGGCTGGCCCTTCCTCGGCCTCCCAGGGCTGCGCACCCTCAGACACCGGACAGACCAACCCCCAGAATGCACCAGTGCCCGTGGGCACGACATGGCCCACCAGTAAGGAGACTGGCGAGGAGGAGGAGGGGGAGGGCAGAGGGGGTACTCACCACTTTGGCTTCTTGTAGACAGAAGGGCTTCTCTGCAAAGAAGAGAGAGGCGACAAGTCAGGGAGCATGGCTTCCTCAGGCCACACCTGCTCTAACTAGGAGGGCAGCATGGGGCCCAAGCGGAACCAGCCAGAGCAGGCCCGGCCCTGGGGGCTGTGCACAGTTGCCCTCCCCAACTCCCCAGACGGCCTGACCGTGTCCCACCCCCTCTGCCACGCTCAACCATTCTCTGGCGTCCCCCTATGTGCTCACACCGTGCCTTCTCCTCAGCGTGCCTTTTCTTTCCTACACACGTCTGCCCGTGGAAATCTGACTCAGCTCAGATGCCACCTGCTCCAGAAGGCCTGACTCCCCCGGGATTTCCAGACACAATCCTAGACTCCCACCCCCTTGGACAGCTCTGTGGCATCTTGCCTTCTTTAAAGGTGTTTTTTTTCTTTTTTTTTTTTAAAGTTTATTTTTGAGAGAGAGGGAGGAAGGGAGAACACAAGCCGGGGAGGGGCAGAGAGAGAGGGAGACAGAGGATCCAGAGACGGGCTCTGCACTGTCAGCACAGAGCCTGATGAAGGGCTCGAACTCAAAACCATGAGATCATGACCTGAGCCAAAGTCGGACGCCAAACCGACTGAGCCACCCAGGTGCCCCGCATCTTGCCTCTTTAGTAGGTAAGTTAGTGGCACTGCCTTCTACCCCAGGCTCTGAGCTCCTACAGAACAGGGGCTGCCCTATCCAGCTGTCTGACCCACAAAGCTATGCCCAGCACTGGACTGACCGGAGGCACCCCAGAAAATCTTCCTAAACAAACGGATGAATGAATGAATGAATGAATGAATGAATGTGTCCTGAACAAATGCTTGAATGAATGAATTATGAATCTGTCCTGAACAAATGGATGAATGAATGAATGAATGAATGTGTCCTGAAGAAACGGATGAATGAATGAAAGAATGAATGCATGAAAGAAAAAGGAATGAAAACTTACTTTTTTTCTGGGTCATAATGACACATTTCACCAGCCCTATGATCACCAGACCCAAGGTTGTCACAGCCACAATCAGTCCTAGAAGAACAAAAAAGAAAAGCTCCAAACAACTACAGAAAGCAAACTCAAACATACCAGGGAGCCAGGCAGCTAAGTCAGTGACCAAACACGTCTGGGATGTCACAGGAGGGGCAAGCCTGACTCTCAAATTTAATCACAAGACAAATAACCAAAAAATCTGACCAAACAAGACATGTCTATTGGCCACATCCAGCCCCAGGGTCACCAGTTTGAGACCTCTGGCCTTGAGGTAGTCCTAATCCCAGAAGGGAAGCCCATGGGGTGACCTGGCCCACCCCAGCGGCTAATGAGTTCATCAGAGAAGGCAACCAGGAAACCACCTCTGCCTGCAAATAAAACGCAGACCCTGCCTCTCCCACCCGGGCAGTTCTTCGTGACAGCACCAGGTCTTGGAAGAAGACAAGCCTCGTCACTCGCCTCCCAGAGCAGAGCAAAGGGTGCAGCCTGCAGGGGGCTCTCAGAGAGACTCGGAGCTCGAACAGGGGAAGGGACGCAGGGAGGCTGAAGGAGCCCTCCTGGGACTTACCAATGAGGAGAGAGATGTCGCCCGTGCTGAGCCCTTCAGCTGGGGGGGTTGGGACCATCACGAACAGAAGGGAGGTGCTAGGGGCCGTGTGAGGGCCTGGAGTCGGCTCCACTTGCTGGGATAGTGTAGACGCTGGCTGGGACGTGGGGGCTGGGCGTGGGGCCATCCTCAGGGTAGGAGGCACAGATGCGCAGACGGCATCCATGGTTGCATTGCCAGGGATGGCCACTGAGCCACAGCTGAGGGAGGAGGAGGCTTGGTCAGGGCACAACAGAGGCCTGAGGACTCAGCATGGCTGGGCTCACTCATGGGAGCCAGGAGGGAGGAGAGAGTATTCGTGCCACACGACCCCTCAGAACCGCCCCTGTCTGTCCCCTCCC